ATATACTCTCTATTAACTAGAAACAGTTTGTTCAAGGTTCTTGTAAGTCACTCCGGTTCGTCGAATCATAGCATTCATCTATGGCTGAGATCATATGCTGCCCTGTCTACATCACGAATTTCCTATAGCTAAAAAGCATATAAACCTTTGAATTCACACTTAGTTGCAGAATATAATTTTCATCAGAGGACTAGAAATTTCAATGTCCGACACCATATGGCATTTTAAGGGCTGATAGGCTGATGGGTTTTTTTATTATCCATCAGTCTATTTTTATAGATTGGTGAGAAATATTTACGCCAACTATCTCCAAAATATACTGATTTTATTTTAAAAATGTTTTTCGGTTTGTAATCAAATATCGACCTAATTCTTAAAAATTTTTACAACACAACAATTTCTTCAAAACATCAAATGTATGGTAAACTAACTTTTCTATATTGTTTTTAACATCATTTAATTTACGTAGTTTGTAGACTTTCAGTGAAAATCTGTTCTTTCAACTTCACTTTTTCTTTTATTTTTGTGTCTTTCATGATTCAGCAGAAATAGTAGTTATTCCCCCTAATAATAATAATAATATGAAAGAACCAGTAAGAGTGAGAGAGATGAATAAGGGAAAAAGATAGAGAAACAATGAAAATAGATTTTCGCCTCCGTAACATTTTTGTACACAGCCTAACATGTTTTGCTGAATTCAACAATGTGTTAAAACGAAGTATTCAATGCTTCAGTCAATGTTTTAACAGCTGTTAGATGAGAAAAAAATAGGAAGAAAATGCTTTACTTAGCAGGAAATATTATGTTAAAGTTATTATTTTCTAATAGAACAAAAATTAAAACTTGATTAGTATTTCTTAAACGAAAATAAGAGAATATAATTTTCTTTTCTATGTGTATAAATAGTCTTAGTTTAGTCACCGCTGTATTCTCTTATATACATAATTATGCGCATACCATAAGTGTGTTATCTTCTACTATATTTTTCCCAAATGAGATCCTGTTCCCATTTTTAAAGTAATTTCCATTTCCCTTTTATTTAACATACAAAAATAGATTTATCTTCTTTTCAGTATGCAGCAAGAGAACTATTATCTTACATAATAATTAGTCTTTCCCTTTTTTATTAGCCATGTTCAATTTCTATAAATATATTCATCTTTATATATATATATATATATATATATATATATATATATATATATACTCGGTATTTAAATGTTTAAACTTTCAGTAGAATTGCTAGTACTTATAAGTATTTGTAAAAAGTTAACTTTGTTTTAAGGTGTATGTACTACCAGAAATTTTCTCATAAATACCACTTTTTAGACTTGATTTTAACTAAGATAACAAGATTTATGTCGACAATCAATGTAACCAATTATGATTATTGCAAACTTTTTTAACGCTTAGTAATTTAACATACTTAAAAACTGAGTATGAAGTAGAATATTAATACTTGAAATGTCAACTTCTGAATTGTTAACCAACAAAGTGACATATCGAAATCAGTTACTGTTTTGTGTATCTTTCCTATGAAAGTTTCTAGGTCTACTTACAATAAGGATTTTAACTGATGGTAAAGTTGATATAATATACACAGCATTATAATGCAATGGTATAGTTCGTTCTTCCTCAACAATTGTTTCGTTGTTATTGACTATCGAAGTCATGAATCGACCAATGTTAGGCCACCAACAGAAGCCTAGAAGCACCGGACGGCCGCTTCGTCCTAGTACGGGACTCATCAACACTGCGCTCGTGTGAATCGAACTCAGGAACTTCAGTTGCGTGCACGAACGCCTAACCTCTGGACCAATGAGCCAGCATCTAACTTTGGTCGCCTTGTGATTTTAATGGAACTCAAAAATCTATACAACCCTATAATGACGGCTGTTGACCAATTCAGAACTCCTGGAAGCTACTGTTATTGTTCAGTAACAAAAAATTCAACAATTTATAGTTTCCTTCATGACTGTATTAAATTAATTTATGTTAGTAGTTGTATTATCAAAATCTGATCGGAAGCAAAAATAGATTCTTAAAATCCCATTCTCATACTAGTGTACAGAAAGATTATTGCCAATATTTGTCAATTAATTGTCAATTAATTAATTGGCAGTAACTCTAGAAGGTCTCGAAGAGGATTTGAAATCTGAACCAGTAGGGTATATCGTCTTTACAGGTAAACTAGAAATATTTCAATATTATGCATTATGCTGAAATGGCTATAGATGTTTTTGATGTGGTTATCGACATCAAGATCCTGTCAATCCATCGATTGAAATATCAACTTTATTATTTTTGTTTATTGTACATATATAAGGTTTCCAGCTCAGTCAGCATCAGATCCTATACTTCTAGTGTGTATCAGGTCTTCTTCTTCTTAGATTCATAATGCTTTAAATCATTTTTATACCGATTAGTGCTAGGTGATATGTGGTCACAATTTGCAGATAATTCACCATTTTCATATCTATTGGAAATACAATTGTCTTACTTTAAAACTTCTTGCAAGTCCAAACGTGCTACCTCAAACAAAAATGGCCCTAGTGTCAAATGATATTGAAGATACTTTCGTCAGGTTGTGAAACATAGAATCAGAAATATAATAGTAACGATGATTTTCAGTCAGTTGTTTGAAACGAAATTTTTTTCGACATGACACTATTTTTGATTTTTTTTTCTTCTGTTTATTGCACTACATTTTTTGACTATATCACTGTTTTTCTTTAAGGAACACAGAATATTACTCTTAACTGATAAAATGCTTTATCAACTGTTTCTTTCATTTTTGTCTTTTTATTGATTTAAGATGACCATACACTAAGTGAACGTTAATTAAGTTAACTAGTTTTCGATGTGGTGAAGTTTTTAACCTATCAGGGTTTTACGATTAAACACCTATAATTGATTACATTTCTTGTTCGATTTTCGTTGAGGTTTCACCTGATAACATCGATCAAGTCCAGTTACACTAATAACGCTTTACTACTTCATATTGTATGTTTACCACTGACTGGCTATTTTATTATAAGATTACTTTGTTATCTTTATAGATAATAATAATAGTAATAATGGCTCTGTTCAATATTAAATGTTTAGTAGAATATTTCAACAAGTTTCCTTTTCAGAGCAATTAGTGATTGGTGATTGAAAGTAAGAAGTTCAAGAATGGACATCTTAATAGCGTTCATTCTTCTCCCAGCAGATTTCCAGGCATCATAATGTCTCTGAATGTACTTTATTGTGCCGCGTGAAGCGATAGATTGCAAGCATTTTAAACCCACACCTGAGTATATTATGCGATTGATAGACATAACTGACATATTAAGATAAGCAAAAGAGATAAACTGTTGACAGATTTTGATGTTAGAAAACAAGTAGCCCAAATATTCAATCAGGAAGCGAATTCATTTAAGCAACAAATCACATGAGTAAAACCGTGATGGTTTAACAATTACCCATGGTCACTTCATTATGAACTGTCTTAAATAAAGTTTCAGGAAAAATGGGTCCCAATGAAGTGCTAATAACCACTGATGAGATATTTTTCTAAAATATTTGTCACCGAAACCAGTACTCATCTTTGGTAGATATTGCTTTTGTTCACCGCTTCTTTAAATATGAGTTATTATCGTTCGGTAGCACCGAAAGATAAATATCACAAATTAATTTGATTGGTTATGTATAGTATAAAACTTAAATTTCTAAAACAACACATACAAGCGATGATGATTGTTTTCAATTAGATCATCATCAGGCTTTACTATAATAAAAATGAAAATGTTAAACCAATCAACACAGTTTCGGTTAACAATCTCAGTGAAATAGATTACGTCATTTCACTTAATCGGTAAAACTAAAAGTTGGTGGTAGGAAGATAGGTGTACTGGTAGTAGTAAGAATAATAAAATACGATAACAAAAGTGTAGGTTGAACGTAAATAAATAGACTTATAATAATCATTACACAACATTAAAACCATTACGTAATAAAAAGTGTGTAAGTAATTAGATAGTTAAGACTTAAAACGGAAAGAGGCGGAAAATTACAAACAAATACAGGATGTGAAAATAATGCTAATAATAACAAAAACAAAGTACAAATACAATTTTTTTAAACGTTTGTTGAGTTATGTCTGACTACGTAAGAGATATCAGTGTCACGAATTTCTTCTCAACACACAAACTGGAGTTGAATGCACGAATTCCTATGGCTTCTGCTATATGTAAGAAATGGGATCCAACCCCATTGGGAAATGATGCATATAAATATTACTGTATATCACAGTAAAGCCTGATGGTGATCTAACGGAAAAAATATTGTTCGCTTTTACACGTGTTGTTCTAATTTTCACAATGAGAATCTTTAATATGCTTGAATTTTTGTTTATCAGTTAAATTTGTTTCATTGTTCGATGATGTGACGTTTTTACGAAGTTTAACTTCCGATAAATATTTGACGACACTAAAGAAATTTCACATAAACCAGTAAGAACCTCATACCTTAAGATATTTCAGGTTGATAATACGCAGAAACTAGTACAACTAGGAATAAATACATTTTGGATCAAGCTAACTTGTTCTAAATGTGTCATAAAACATAATCAAACTGTATTTTCTGTTTTAACTGGAAAAAATTTATATTCTAAAATGTTTATCCTTGATATCAGCAATAAATACCGAGTGTCGTTGATGATTTAAAAGTTTTTGTCACTGTTTTCAAATTTTTATTTATAGAATATGTAAATTAACGTAACTAGTAGACTCAAACGCTTGAGGTATTTTACAATCAGTAATTATTTTCTAGGCATTGAATGAATGTTGCTTTATTCATAATTCTATCATTTGTTATTTATTCTCATTAAAGAATGTTTTGTGTCGGTTTTGCGTTTTATTGACATTTTTAGCGTATACACCCATTAGCTATAGTTTTGTATTATATTCTTTCAAATCTACTGATATGTATGCGTTTATTTTTCTACTCATTGATTTCAGGATTGTGATGGTGACACACCGCTTCATGATGCTATTTCAAGTCAGAATACCACCCTAGTAGAACTGTTACTACGTCATAACCCTGACTTGACTATTCTTAATAATGCTGGTCAAAATTCCCTACATTGTGCTACGGTTCATGGAGGCACTGAGTAAGTCTTACGTTTTTGATAGTTGTGAGTATTAATGATGGTTTCTTTCATCTTAATTGTTGTTTTGTAAAATTTGTTGGTGCAAAATAACCCAAATCTTTTAATTTAATGTATATTAGCAAAGCATTAAAATATTTATTTAAAATAACCTTCAGAAATCGTCCTCATCACATGAATGTATGAATAGATCTAATATTTATTACCCGTAGAGTTAGTGTCTTCACAATGATGGTATCCAAGTTTGAATTTTATCCATATTTTGCCCGGGGTATATGAGGTTGCTGACAGAATAACTCGATACCTACCTGACTTTCAAGTCCGTTATAAATTTGTTACTTTATAACTCTAACCAACTTGTAATTATCAGCAAATATCACTTATTCATTCGAGGAGGCCACATGCTAGCAGATACCAATTAAAATAGTTTCTTGATTATTTTTAACAAGGAGAAGCAAACTTATAACTTAATTTATTGTTACATAACATTAGTTCAAAGATTTACACAAATAATTTTAGCAATCTTTCAAAATAAATTTTATGTTTCTTCGCAGTAGTCATATTTTTTATCGTAAAGTTAAGAACGGAAAGTTTGTAGTGAAATTGTTTCTTCTAATGAATTACCTTTAACATTTTTCAAAATTTTTTTTAACATTAATAAGTTGATATCAGCAGGATGTATAATATTGATTGTTGATTTACATAAGAACTGTCTAGTTAAGTAATTGACATGATATATTAATCAGAAATGAAAAATAACTGTATATATGTAGGAATAATAAGAATAAATGAAATAGGATGAATACTCATTTCATCAGTAATCGTACAAATTGTATGACAACTAGTTAATTGTAACTTGATCGTATCACTTTGAAGCAACGTTGTTAGAAATTAATTTTAAGTAAGCGAATAAAAGAAATGTCTTTCAAAACGAAAATAATTTATGAACTTGGATTTAAGTGCCATATAAGCTGTATAAGTTGTTGAATGATAAATGAAGTCTTTTGTGATGCTTATAATAAATGAACATGTTAAGTTATTACAAATTGTTACCGTTATAGTCTTCTCGGTTATATCACCTTGTTGTATCTACTAAGTATCTTAACTGGCTCGTACTTGATACTGAAACTCTAAATCTCACGATGTGTATAGAGGACATAAAGACTGGTGAACATATTTATCTACATATTGATCTTAGTCATAATTATCAGACATACTACTAAAACCCCAGCTTCATGTCATATTAAACAACTTTAATACTGGATCGATGCAACAATATCATATTGAATATTACACTAAATAATCGTTGTCTTGAATTTTAAAGCTTAACTAATGTTGAACAAAGGTCATAATGAGTCAGAAATGTGGTCTTGTCTTTTCATTCTGTCATAAAACCTTCCTCTCCAGAAAATAGGTCTAACTGGATGCGTTGGAATGGATACATATCATTTACTTTATTCTCAGTTAAATGAAATAAGACTACTCAATTGAGTGACCATTGTTTATTTGAATGGACAATTCTGGATAAGTTTATACTTATGTCAGAACATGTTGGTCATATGATTGAGTACTATTTCTTATCTCCTTAGTTCTCGACACTTTGAAATCAACAGTGTAGTTACATCCAAATCATTTATGATCTTTTTTTATAAAATTCTACTGTGAGTATTAGATTGGATTTGAATGTATCGTATTTGATTGGTTGGTTCATTTGTAGCGTAATCAACTTGAATTGATATAATGATTGACTAGTACTTTAGTTATTTCTATTACAACTCTGATTTTAGTTAACAGATGGATAATTCAGTGAAACTTACAAACTATATTATCATATCATTTTAATAAGAAGTAGAGATTTATGCGTACTTTTCGAGACAGTAAGTATATAACTATTACCATATAATTCTGACTCCAGTTTTAAAAAATCGTCATGACTATGACTTTTACATATGACCGTAATATTCAAGAAACAAGTTGTATACTGTTTACGATAACAAGCTGTCAATATTTATAAAAATTTCGAACTCCGAATGAAATATTACTTATCTGTCTGACTTATGGTAACTGTTTTCTAGCCTGAAGGATCAATCACATAATCTGACTGATTGATCTTAAAAAAATATTGTCACATTTAAATTGTGCTGAACAATTTATCTAAACAAAATATTGCTAATTAGTCAGACTGAACTCGTATAAAGTCAGGAAAACCTACTACAACGACTACTACTACTACTACTGTGGTGCGCGCTACTTATAAGTAGTATATGACGCGAGTGTAAACGTAATATCTGGCAGCAGAAGATGGGGGAAGATCAAGAAAGGAAGAGTGGGAACACAATGGAATTTGTATGAAACGCATGAATAGTGAAATGTCAGACAATGGATTGATGATGGATTAACGATTTGCAAATTAACGGTCAGGATATGATTTTCCTATTTTACTGAGTAACTCTGTAATTTTCGTTAAATACAATTCGGTTGCCCTCACCTGTGTTCTCCTTCACTGCATTTGGTGTCGCTGACTGCACGAAGGAAGGAGCTCCCGTGGCTGAAGGAGTTTGAGGACGGAGATTTGCGGAACTTCCTGGAGGAGTTTGAGGCCGTGGTGGGGCTGGTGGGTGTGAAGGGGCCTGAGGCGGAGTTGGTGGTGCTGGGGATGCTACAGGGAGGTGAAGCAAAGGCGTTATACGACAGCCTGGACGGTGACGCGGGAAGACGACATGGGAGACGGTCGCCGGGCGGCTGATGACGGTGTTCGACAGCCCAGTGGACAGGGAGAAGGCGCTGCAGGAGTTCCGGTTGGTGAGACTGTCGGCTGATGGTGACCCGCTGGTGCTTGCTGTGGAGCTCGCCAGATTGTTGCGCCGTGCTCTGCCGAATATCAATGAGGAGTCGGAGGCACAGTTGTTGGCGTCGCAATTTATCGAGTGTGTGCGTGCCGCCGTGTCCCAACAGCGGGAACTAGTAAACGCTACACGTTGGATAGATGCCGTACTCATTCCAGACCGGCGGGCAAGAACAATGACCGAAGTGGTAATCCGGCATATTGTAGCGTGTCACGGACTACGGAAGGTGATATTAACTGACCAGGGTCCCTGTTTTGAAAGTGACGATTTTAAAGCTCGTCTAAATCAGTTTGGCGAGAGGATACTAACTACACCGTATCATCCTCAGATAAACGGGCTTACGGAGAGAAGATAAGCAGAAGCGTGTAAATGATAGTCAACTGCAGAGATGGTTTCAAGATTATCAAGTGCATGAGTCACGAAAAGCACCAAAGATGACAACGGTACGGCAATCAGAAAGACTACGACGACAGCTTATTAAAAGGGGGGACGAGTGGGGTGCGCAATACTTATAAGTAGTATATGACGCGAGTGTAAACTACACTACTACTACTACTACTACTACTACTACTTCTACTAACAACAATATATTTCTAGAATATATTAAAATATTTGAAAATTTCTGAGTAGCAGTGAAAAATTTGAAATTTAAGCTTAAATTAACTTTATATTTATTTATACAGGGAAAAGATTTCCCTTTTACTAAAATATAAAAATATGAATGACAAATTTTCTTCTGTAATAAATTTTAATTAAATCCTGTTACTATAATCTACTGTGTGATTTTAATGTATACACCAAGATAGACAAGCAAGCATTAAATAACTTATTTTACAAGAAATTTTAAATGAACATTCTATAAACACAGTTAGCTAACTTTAATTACTAGTTATTCACTCATAACTATTAGAAGTTAACTAGAATATGTAAAAATGCGTAAAATAGCTTATACAATATATATATATATATATATATATATATATATATATATATATATATATATACATAAAACAAAAACAATTTATGCTGATTATGACCGACTGAAGCAAAATTAATCTGTATTGAGCAAATTATGCAAATATATATCTGATCGAATTTTTCATCCTATTTTTTCGTTGTTGTTGAATAAATATGATTAACAACATTTCCTTGTGTTTTTTTGGAAAATTCTTTATGTATATTTGACAAAAGAATTTTTTCTTTGTTTCAACTTATTTAATGATATTTTTTTACAAATGATAAATGCATAAAAATGTTAGATTTTTATTTCAATTTTGCAACTATACTGATTAATTGTGTTTTGTTGTTAAATATGTTTTTTCTACACCGCATGTGTTGTTTAACTATTGTGAAATGATAATATACCATCATAAGTTTTTTAGTTTTGAAGTAAGTAGTTTCATTATTATATCCATTTCTCTTTCATAAAATAACGATTCATCAAATCTACAAGTGTCAGTTATATAAAATGAATTAGATATTCACACCGTTGTATACCAGCTCAGTGGTCGAGAGATTAAGCGTTCACGAGTAAGACCGACAGTCCCAAGTTCGATTCCCGTTCTCAGGCGTCTTGGATGCGCACTGCTGATGAGTCCCATACTGGGACAAATTGGCGGTCCACTGATTCCAGGTTTTGAATGGTAGTCTAACATTGATCAATTCATGATTTCCATGATACTCAACTATCTCCACAACCTATAATCATGAAAGAATGGAAGCAGTTCTTTTTTATTTTAAAAGACTATAACAGTATAGTTAAACTCAAATCTTTTCTATTCAGGAAGGCATAATTCACTTAATGATGAACTGATAATGGTTGTAATATTGGAAAATTTTCTTTTTGCAATGGTTAATTCCTTAAACTGACGTTGTAATCTCCATGAATTTTTTGATTTTATTTCACAGAATTTGTCTACTTTGAGGATCACAGTAAACTGAAATGGGGTTGCTAGTTAACTGAATAACAAAGCATACACCATTGAAAGCTTTCTATATATATATATGTATTGGTACCATGCTTTGAGCTAGAATCGGTAGTACCGAGATGAATACTATAAAGTGGTGTGTGTGTGTGTGTGTGTAAGATGTCTTAACATGTCCTTTATAGTGTCAGTCTTTCAATAGATATTTCAATTTTGATGGGAAAATGATATT